TCTCTGTGGAGAAATTTGAGGCTTTCTGCTCCTGTGAAGATTTAGTCTTGGGGACCCTATACAGGCTCACTATGAGTCAGAACTGACTGGACAGAATTTAACAACAACAAATCTTTATGGGAACAGATGCTTCATCTCTTTTCCTCGTGGATTTAAACTGCTGATCTTGCAGTTAATAATCCAACACATTCACCCACTATTGCTACCATGGCTCTGAAGATTGAGCCATAGGGGCGAATTTAGTTCCAGACCTGAAGGGTGACCAAGAGCCATAGTTTTGGGGTTCCATCGGTCTCTTTATGACCAGGAAGACTGGTTTTTTATTTTTTTAGTTCTGTTCTACATTTTCTCCCACTCTTTCTAATATGATCAGTTGGTAATGGTAGCCAGGTATCTTCTAGAATTTCTGGTCTCAGAGTTGTGGAGACTGGTGTTCATGTGGTGCATTAGTCCATTGCTGTTGTTAAGTGCCATCAAGTCAGTTCCAACTCATAGCAACCCTGTATAGGGTTTCTGATTAGTGGCTGGTGAGTTTGAACTGTCGACCTTGCAGTTCAAACCAACCTTGAAGTCGAGTGCCTATCTTATGGCACCATACTTGTTCCTAAACTTCTTCAATTTCCATCACTCTTCTTTCCTCCAGACAGAGAGTAACCAACAGTTGCACCTTAAATGGTGGCTCATGAACTTACAAGATCTCACTCCTTACTCTCCAAAGCAGGGTGTAGAGCATTGTCTTTGTGGACTATGTTATGCCAGTCAGCCATGGTCAAACCCCTAACTTTTTAAGATCATAAAAAAGTGATTCTTTGCAGAAGTTGAGTGTTGTTTCTTGGAACTTTTTAAAACAGAATTTTCTACTTGCTTTTTTCATCTTCCCTGATCCAGAAACTTTTTTTTCCCCTTCTTGTTTCTCCATGTTTTAAATTGTAAGAGCTTAAATTGAATCAAAAGATCCAGAAAGGTAAGTTGTGCTGCTTTGGGTTGAATTATTGTTGTTAAGTGTCAATGAGTCAATACCAACTCACAGTGACCTTGTATAAGGTTTCTGAGGAGCAGCTGATGAGTTTGAATCACTGACCTTGCTGAGAGAATGATCTACCAGCCTTAATAAAATGAAGTTGGTTTAGTCATTAGGGTTAAAATGAGGACCCTACAAATGAGGAAGTTAGTTTAAAAATAGCTGAGATGACCTTATGGTCCTAGAAGAATTGTTGTTAAGTACCATCAAATTGATTCTGACCCATAGTGACCCTGCATAGGGTTTCTGAGGAGTGGTTGGTGTGCTTCAACCGCTGACCTTGTGGTTCAAGCCAACTTTGCAATCCAGCACATTAACACACAGTGCCACATCAGGACTACTTAAACCCACCCAGAGAATTATCTCAGGAATTAAGCAGTTGAGACCCTAAAGGTAGAATGTTTGAGAAAGTTTATTGCCTTATTGTTTCTTTTTCCAAAGAATGCTATCCTGATGTTAAAATAGATTAAGTGTACTTGCAATTGTAACTTACCCTATATAATGTGCCTACTCTTTGTAAAGGACAGGACAGTCTTGAGGGATCATTCTCCCTGTCTTCCAGACTGCTAGCTTTCTGTTAATAAAGCTTGGATTGGATTTCTCCCTGTCTCTGTGATTGACTACAGTAACAGGCAGCAAACCCTCATTTTCAATTGGCAACATTGTGATTAGTAGTCCAGTGCTTATCCTATAGCACCGCATGTTGTATTGTTAAGTGCCATGGAGTCAGTTCTGATGCATAGTGACCCAGCATAGGGTTTCTGAGAAGCAGCAGGTGGGTTTGAACCATCGACCTTGTGGCTCAAACCGACCTTGCAGTCCACACCAAGACTCCATAGTGTCACATATTGTTGTTATTGTTGTTGTTAAGTGCTGTCGAGATCCATCCCATAGTACGGTTCTGAGGAGCAGCTGATGGGTGTGAACTGCCAACCTTGTGATTCACAGTCCAGTACTGATCCTACAGTACCACACCAAGAGTCACATAAAAGCATGGAGATTGTGACAAGAGAGTGTCAGCTGTCCAAGGAGAAATTAAAACTGCTCTACCTCACCAAGTTAGAACAGAAAATCTGGTGTTTAGTATCAGACATCTTGGTGTGGTGCTGTGGGATAAAGCACTGGACCGCAAGGTCGGTCTGAACCACAGGTTGGTGGTTCAAACTCACTAGCCGCTCCTTGGTAATCCTTTACAGGGTCTCTGAGTTGGAACTGATTTGATGGCACTTAACAACAACAATTCCCGTATTAAATCGACTGCAAAGATTTCTTTAAAGTGTTAAAAAGCAAAAATGGAGGGCTAAGCGAATCCAACACAAGTCCTGGTATTTTCAGTTGCCTCATATGCACATGAAAGCTTGACCATGAATAAGGAGGACTAAAAAATTGATGCTGTTAAACTGTGGTATTGGTGAATACAAACATACCCAAGGCGGCCAGAAGGATCAAATCTGTCTTGGAAGAAATATACCCAGAATGCTTTTCATTGTTGTTAGGTACCTGGAGTCAGTTCTGACTCTTGGCAACCTTGTATTGGATGTCTGAGGAATGGTTCATGGGTATGAACCGTTGACCTTGTGGTTAGCAGTCAAGTACTTATCTTACAGCACCACACCAGAATTCCTTAGAACCGAGGATAGACTTCTCATGTTCTTGTGTAATCAGGACGACATCATGCTTGGTAAAGTTGAGGGTCAGTGAAAATGAGGAAGACCCTCAATAAGATGGGTTTAAACATAGAAGTGATGGTGAGGATGGCACAAGACTGGGTAGTTTTTTCTGTTGTTCACAAGTTCCCTATGAGACAGAAGCCACTGCATGGCACCTAATAGCAAGTCTTGAAAATATTATCTACATTTTGTAATGCAGGCCAAAGAAACCATGATAGAATATTCCACTGTCACACTATCTAACATGGAGGCCAATCTTAATGTAGTCATTCCATTTGAAAAAAAGACGCAGATTTATGGCAGAAGTGGGTAATCTGATGGTCAGATCCAATTTACTGCCTATTCTTGTAAATAAAGTTTTATTGAAAAACAGTGGGTCCATTATCTATGGCTGCTTTTGTGCTACAACAGTAGAGTTGATTGGTTGTAAGAGAGACTGGATAGCCCACAAAGCCAATTATGTTTACTATCTGGCCCTTTACAAAAAAAGTTTGCTGACCCCTGTTCTTGGGCTTCAATTTGGCCCAACCCCCACCTTTGCATTCATTGATCTATATATAGGGCTTCAAAAACTTTGTGGAAAAAAATCTCAATGTCTTTTTTTTTTTTTTTTTTTAAGGTTTTTATTATGAATTGAGTAAAAGTTCTGAGGGCAGATTATCAGTTTTATATTCAACTAATCATACTGGTGAATCATACACCTTGTTTCATTACAATGATTATAATCCCCTCCATGTACCATCAGTTAACAGTGTTTCTCTCTATTCACCTTTTTTTTTTTTTTTAAACACTCAGGCATATATAATTTACACCTCCAAATGCACATTCTGAAAGCCTGCTTCCTAGCTGCCATCTCTTAGTCCCTCTCTTCCCATGAATCTAGAGTCCTCAGCTGCTCCCTCTCTCCATGTCCCCATCTTTGCCTTCATCTCTGTTGTTCCTCCTCCGGATAAGGTCTCTCATTCCGCTTGTGCTCTTCTCCCTTGATGATCCTAGGGTCCTTTGTTTCTGGACTATAAGATTAACCACTCCCCTGTTTTTGTTACAAAACTTCTACCTTTACAATTGTTAGAGTCGCAATCAGTCATGATAACAATTACTCATTATTGAATCATAAGAATCTTATCTCCATCTCTTTTTACCAGACCAATCTAGACAAAATGAAAACTATTCAGTGGAGACTCTTTCTTTCCTACACTATTAAACTAAGCTCCCCCTTGAAACCTTGTAAACCAGTCACTTTGTGCCTTTATCACCCCCTCATTTTAGGTAGCCAACATCTAAGTTGCCCATCCTTATCTACCCTGTGCACAGAGGGGATAACACTGATACTTAATGTAAAGACTCTTTCCCTCTCTGTTGGTATTTAGAGTCACTATTTCTATGAGTATAGGTCAAGTTCATCAAATTGTAGCAATTTACCCTTGTTTCCTTTATCAAAAATTTTTTTTTTTTTTAATCTTCCTGTAGTCTGTTCTGATTATCAAGCCATCAAGGATAGGTCAAATGGGTACTATCTGCAACTTTGGGTGTTCTTATGTGACCCCTCTCACTTCTTATCAGCTGGATGCTTCACTCTCAGCTCTAGACATCTGTGGCTATGTCCTTGTCCATAGATTCAGGTGTCCCCAGTTCTCACCATATTTTGAAACAAGCAGCCCTTTTTCTTCTCTCTCTCATCTCCAGGTCCACCGGAGGAACATGGTTGAACTCAGCCCATTTCTTCATTACTGCCTTTCCCCCTCTTCCACTCACCAGTAAACCAACATGGGCACCAGTAAGCTTACATGCTTGCTCATGTGTTCCCTTTGAGTTTCAGTCTTAAAGGGGGGTCGAATTGTCTTTTAATTCAGTTTTCCCATGAGCTTTTTGAAGTCCCCTTGTATGTGTGTGTTGTATAAATTATCAAATGAAGAAATGACCAGTAAAGCATGAGACTTTGCTATCCACTAATGCTCGAGCATTAGCACTTATATTGTTGCTGTCAGTGGATTCTGATTCATTTGTGACCTTGTATAGGGCTTCCGATGAGTGGCTGGTGGGTTTGAACTGCCGACTTTGTGGTTAAAAGTCTAGTGCTTATCCTACAGCGCCACACCAGGACTATGCTTTAAGCACTGGACTGCTAACTACAAGGTTGCCAGTTCAAACCCACCAGCTACTCCTCTGAAATGCTATACAGGTTCACTATGAGTCGGAACCAATTTGACGGCACTTAACAGCAATAACAGTCTTAATTACCAGTAACCAGGTAAGAAATATGTAGGAACTTTATTATTATTATTTTTAACTTCTAAATGAGGCAACAATTATAATGGAATCTTCTTTAACTTGACCTTTTCTTCTATATTCGAAAAGTATCTCATTTTTGTTAAAATTCCCTTGGCTTTTTCAAAGTCATCTGAAATAAAGAGAGAGAATGAAATCAGGCTTCATTACAAGGAAGAAGCAAACCAACCACGTTGACAAACGCATCCAGCTCTGGAAGGCCCTTTCATCACTCAGTAAGTCTGAGCAATAGTGAAGGAGGTCCTTTGGGTTACTGAAGGGACCATGGGATTAACCAAAGGAGGTAAGAACAGACTTCACAGAATTCAGAGTTCAAATCAGTCTGATTCTCTTCAGGTCAACCCCAAGTAAGAAAGGGGCTGTATTTTAAATTTCACATCTACTCGATGGTGGATGCAGAGGGCACTTCTTCTGTTAGGTGTTCAGACACAGGCTGCGTTCTTGGGCTTAGTCTCTGGGAAAGATGTCGTTAGACTGGTGGTTTTCAGTGGGGTGTGTGTACGTGTCTGGCAACATCTGAGGTCATTTTTGGTGGTCATGAGGGAAGGGGTGTGGTGATACTGACATCCAGTGGGGGAAAGGCTGCTAAACACAATGCTTTGCACAGGATAGCCCCCCTCACAGTGAACGTGTCTGGTCCAAAAGGCAAGCTGTGCTGAAGTTGAGGCACCTCGCCTTAGCTCGATATAACAAGATGTCATGAGGGAAAAATTAAGATGTTACCACTACCTATGTCACCGGATGATGCCGAGTATACATTAAGTTGAAAAGCAAGTTACAGAGAAATACATAGAAGTTTTGATTCCATTTACAAAAGTTCAAGGAAAAACCCCTAAGTGATATACTGTTGTATTCACATAGGAGTGCAATGGTTAAGTACTTGGCTGCTAACCTCAAGGTTGGCAGTTCAAATTTACCAGCTGCTCCATGGGAGAAAGATGTGGCAGTCTGCTTCCACTAGGATTTATGGACTTGGAAACCCTCTGGAGCAGTTATACTTTGTCCACAGGGTCACTATGAATCACACTTGACTTGATAGCAGTGGGCTTGGCTTGGATATTGTTATGTTTTTGTTAAGTGCCATCAAGTCGGTTCCGACTCATAGTGACCCTGTATAGGGTTTCTGAGAAGCCACTAGTAGGTTTGAACTGCCGACCCTGTGGTTCACAGTCCAGTGCTGATTCTACAGTGCCACACCAGGAGTCTGGATAGTCACACAGATATGGTTAAAACTGTCAAGAAAGGAAATAAGGAACATAAAGTCAGGAGAGAGGTCACCAGGGAAAGTGGGGATGCAATAGCAAAGGCCCTATTAGGGCTTGGAAGAGGTGGTGGTGTTGTTTCCTAAGCCTGGGGGTGGGGACATGGGCATTTATTTGTTCCATTATTATCCTTTCAACTGTACTTCTACATTACTTATTCTTTTGAGTCCCAGTGTGGCGCTGTAGGATAAGCACTGGGCTGCAAGGTTGTTTGAACTGCAAGGTCGGCAGTTCAAACTCACCAACTCTTCCTCAGAAAACTTATACAAGGTCACTATGGGTCAAAACCAACTTGATGGTGCTTAACAAAACAATATTCTTCTTTTGTATTATATTTCATAATTAAATCCCACTGTCAATAAGTTGATTCCAACTCAGAGAGATCCTATGGGACAGAGTAGAACTACCCCATAGGACTTCTGAGGCTGTACATCTTTATGGAAGGAGCTCTGGTAGTAGAGTGGTTATGAGTTGGGCTGTAACCTCAAGAGCAGTAGTTCAAAACTACCAGCGGTTCTGCAGGAGAAAAATGAGGCTTTCTGTTCCTGTAAAGATTTACAGCTTTGGAAACCCTATACAGGGTCGCTCTGAGTTGGAACCAACTCCATGGCACATGATCACCACTGCCACATCTTTATGGAAGCTTTGGGTTGCTAACTGCAAGGTTGGGGGGTTCAAACCCACCAGCTGCAGTATGGGAGAGAGATGAGGCAGTCTGCTTCTGTAAAGATTTCCAGTCTTGGAAACCCTATAGGTCAGTTCTACATTGTTCTAGAGGGTTGCTATGAGTTGGAATCGACTCAATGGCAGTGGGTTTGACTTTTTTGGTTAATCATTATGGAAGCGGACTGCCACATCGTTCTTCTGAAGAGCGGCTAATGGATTGGAACCTCTGACCTTTTAGTTAGTGGTCAGCTGAGCGTTCAGCCACTGTGTCACCAGTGCTCCTTCCAGTTAAACATACGAAAGTATACACATAGAAAGGTGTAACATAATGTGGGGCTGGGCCCTGCTGGACCACATCCTGATGATGTTCTCCAGCAGTATTTCAGGCAGAGTCAGCCTCCTATCTTTTCTGCTGTTAATCTATATTTGCCTCCACTTTTTAGAAAATCTGCTTCTGCCCACTTCTCAGAATTGACTCCTATAGTCCCTGCAAAGTGGGCAGTACATTGGATAATACTCCCTCAGCCTGAGCTGACTGGACTAGAGTGGTTCAAGTTGGGCCAATCAAATCCTCTCTCCCAGGAGTCTAGAGTTAAGTCTAGAGATGGTGAAAGGCCTTCTTAAAAAGGCAATAGGCTAAAGAGGGCCCAGAAGTCATCTTATGAAGGAATCCTATGAAGGAAGCCAGAGACAGTAGGGTCCACAATGAAATTTTCACACTTGTTTTAAGGCATCCCCCACCCGCCGGTCAGTTGCTGTACTAGGGGTTTCCGTGTTGCTTATGATGCTAGAAGCTATGCCACTATTATTTCAAATACTAGCAGGGTCACCCTTGGGGGAAACGTTTTCATGGCGCTTCCCGACAAGACAGACTGGTGAGCTTCCAAAAATTAGCTAGCGAAAATCCTAGGAATCATTAACAGAATATTGTCCAATACAATGCTGGAAGATGAGCTCTCTTGGTTAGAAGGTCACAAGAATGGACCCTTCTTAAGTATACCAATGAGTCAGTGCCAAACCAATGGCAACGAACAACTCAAGCATCTGCCTCAGCATCTACAAGCTCTTTTCTTCTTTGTAGAAGCAGCTTATAGGCCTTGCTAAATGTTGACTCTTCAGCTTTGTCCTCAGGGCCCTGTATCTGTTGGCTTCAGTCCACATAACTTATCTCCTACTTGCCAAAGAGTAATGCAGTATTTTCTCATATGTAATGCTTAGTTAGCATTTCTCTAGTTTTGGCATCTAGCTTGCTTTCCCAGAAAGACTGTGAATCCTTGAAAGCAGAACTGTAGAGTCATATATATTTCACACCTCCCATGTACCAATCCTAGACTGGGTAGACGGTGCTATTCATTGCTTTTGATTTCATTCCATTCCTAAGAAAGTCAAGAAGCAAAGACAGTACCTTGTTCAAAGGCTCTGCTTGCGTTGTCAATGCATTCTTTCTGTTTGACTGAAAGAGAAAATCATTAATTTTTCTATTTAAACAGGCTCATGATACAAAGACAACACTTTTTAAGCACACTGGCTTGAACAGAAAGCTTGGATCCAAGGGTAAGGGTGCACAATGCTTATTTCAAGGTGTCCCGGGATAGCAGCTTCTGTTTAGTGCAGCACTGCCTGACCCTACTCACACCATCCTTTTCTATCTTCCCAAAGGGCTCAGGGGAAATCACTAACCTCTCTGATGGCTAGTTGTTTGTCTAGTTGTTTCCGACTCAGTGATCCTGTTTGGCATGGTAGAACTGCTCCTTTGGGTTTCCAAAACTGTCAATCTTTATGGGACCAGTCAGCCTCATTTTTCTTCTGTGGACAGGCTTGTAGGTTTAAACTGCTGACCTTGCAGTTAGCAGTCCAATGCTTAACCCACTATGCCAGCAAGCCTCTTTGGGACAATTGCCAAAGCTCATAAAATGACTATAAAATCACTGGGAAGAAGAAGAATAAGAAAGAAGGAAAAGTGAAGGAAAGAAGGAAGGAGAAGGAAGAAGGAAGTAGAAAGAAGAGAAAGTCAAAGAAATATCCTGATTCTCTCCACCAAACTGTCTGGCTTTCAGATTGCAGGGAGAAGAGGAAGAAACCATCCAGATGGCCTCTCAGTAATATACTCCTGAGCATGTTAGGCAGCCATGTGAAAACTAGACAGTGCCCGGGCAAGATGATGCATGTTCATTCCACTCTATCATATTACGCCTTCAAAGAGAAGCTGCTCAACAAAGTCAAGTAGCAGCTACCTCTTGTTTCTGTTCTTTCCTCATTCACAAATCAAGACTTTCACAACAAGTGTGTTTTCTGGAGGTGAACAGTATCCATCTATCTACACGGCCTGTTTAGAAGCACTTTTAAATTCATTATCTCTGAAGGAAGGAGCCCTGATGGTGCCAGTGGTTAAGTGCTTGGATGCCACATCTTTCTTCCATGGAGTTCACAAAGATCACACAAGTGACAGCGTAGGAATTTAACAGATGGAGCTAGAAGGTTCAGACAGAGCAGTCTAGAGTACTGTAGGTATCCAGGTAAGAAAGAATGGTAGGCTGGAACAGGAGAGTGGCAGTGAAAATAGATGGGTAGATACATTATTGTTGTTAAGTGCTGTGGAGTCGAGTCCAACCCGTAGCGACCCTGAATAGGGTTTCTGAGGAGCAGCTAGTGAACTTGAACCACCGACCTTGCAGCTCAAACATTGGAGACATTTAAAAAGTCAGCTCTGTAAGCCCTTGAAGATGGATGGTAAGGGAAAATGAGGTTGGAAAGGATGCCACCAAAAGAGTTTAGAATTGGGACAGTGATATTGTGGAGAGACAGAGCACTGGAAGAGGAACAGGTGGCTTTTCTTTTTCGTCGTGGGGAAGCCCGTTTGGACATGAATTCCAGTTTGGACATGATGAGCTGGAATAGTTAACTCCAAGAAGGCACAGGCCTTGTCCTTCTTGTTTGCTGCTCTATCTCAACATCCATCATAGTGCTTGATACATAGTTGGCACAATGTAACCATGTATGAAACTATCTAAGTGCATGCAGTGGGAAGAGCCTGGAGGCTTTTTGGTATGAGGTCTGGAGATCAATTTCTCAATTTTCTCTCTGCTAATGGAGCTGTGGGTCAATGAGCCAGACTGCAAAGCCGTTTGAACTGCAAGGTTGGCAGTTTAAGCTCACCAGTTGCTTCTCGGAAACCCTATACAGGGTCGCTATGGGTCGGAACCAACTTGACGGCACTTCACAACAACAACAATGGTAGCATAAGGAGCTCTGGTAGCGTAGTGGTTACCTCTCAGGCTGCTAACCTCAAGGTCGGCAGTTTGAAACTACCAGCCGTTTCATGGGAGAAAGATGAGGCTTTCTACTTCCGAAAAGATTTACAGCCTCGGAAACCCTGTGCAGGGTCACTATGAGTCGGAACCGACTCTACAGTACTTAACAACAACAACAATGGTAGCATAGCGGTTATGAATTGGGTTGCGAACCTCAAGGTCAGCAGCTCGCAACTATCAGCTGTTCCGTAAGAGAAAGATGAGGCATTCTGCTCCCGTAAAGATTTACAGCCTCGGAAACCCTGTACAGCATTGCTATGAGTCGGAACCGACTCCACGGCACATAACCACCACCACACCTATCTGCTGTGTGACTTTGGGAAATTCCATGAAATGCTGAGGCTCACCACAGATAACAGTATCTAAAATGAAATCATGGGTGGGAAAGAGCACTGCAATCTACAAAATGCTATTATTGTTGGGTGCGGGAGAATGCATCTTGAATCATAGCGACCCCGAGTGACAGAGCAGAATGCCCATAGGGTTTCCTAAACTATAATCTTTATGGGAGCTGATTGTCAAGTCTTTCTTCCATGGAATTGTTTGTTGTTGTTGTTATGTGCCGTGGAGTCAGTTCCAACTCATAGTGACCCTGTACAGGGTTTCCGAGGTTGTAAATCTTTACAGGAGTAGAAAGCCTCATCTTTCTCCCGTGGAACAGCTGGTAGTTTCGAACTGCTGACCTTGCGGTTCGCAGCCCGATTCGTAACCACTATGCTACCAGAGCTCCTTAACCTTATGGTTAGCAGCTGGAATTCTTAACATTCTTGATTTAAGGCTGACTTCCAGAAGGGTTATGGATGCCGCAAGTTTAACTTCCAGAAAACATTGGTTTCTTTATGGTAAAAAAAAAAAAAATTCCTGATTCATCATGATGACCAAGAATTTTCTCTCTACATTCATCTTTCACTGAACCCTAAGCATATACTCATGGTAACAAGAAAATGTTTTGGGCACTGTTTTATCTTTTACCTGCAACAATGGATTCAATCTCATTCATGGCAGCTTCACTCTGAGCTTCTGCGAGTTTTTCATTGATTTCCATTATTTCCATGAGGAATTGCTTGTCCATTTCATAATCTGTCCCTTCGGAAATCTCTATTCCACGGAGCTTTAGCTATTGAGGTAAAGAGCAGATGAAAATAAGTGTGGTTGAAGAAAACATGGCAAGAATGCCATAAATCCTGATTTCTCCTTAGAACATAGTATCACGCACGGGGGAAATGTGAGTTGTGCGAACAGTGACGGTGTTAGGGCAGGATGCAGAACACCTGGGACGACAGAAAGGACAGGCTCCTTCTCTTAAGCTATTTGGAGCTTTGTGAGCCTAGGGAGGGTAAACTAAATGCTTGTAAAGATTCTATTCTGTTCTAAAAATGTTCTGGAGTCTATTACTTCTCCCCAAACAACCCAAAAGTTATCCTTTCCTAAAAGCTGATATCAAATCTTCGATAGTTATATGTGATTTTTTCAAAAAAGCAACTGGGGAAAGTAACATTTGCAGAAAATACTCAAGAGAAAATGATATATGGGTTTGAGGCTAAATCTTGGGAACAGCTCAGGTCTCAAACATTTCTTCCCACAATGTAACAAGCCACTGGCAGTAGTACACTCAAGAGTTGGGAAATCACCTTACAAGGTATAGTCCCCTGCTTAGAGGTGCCAAAAGGGTCTTATAGGCATCATTCACGAGGGTCGAGTGCTTCTCTGAGAAGTCCTTTTCAGTCTGTTAGTGAGAGAGGAAGAGCGACTGATTACCATCCAAATCAACCATCTGACATTCAGTAACTGCTTGATCAAAAGCTGGTGGCTTACTCAGCCATAAAGAGACATGAAGTCCTGATGCAGGCCACAATATGGATGAACCTTGAAAACATTAAGTTGAGTGAAATTAATCAATCACAAAAGGACAAAAATGAAGGGGCTTCAAAAAGTTTGTGAAAAATGGCATCAAAGACAATGGGCAAGAAAAAAAGTGGAAAGCTTCCAAGAACTTTTTGAGGAGCTCTTGTACTGTATGACCTCATTTATATGAAATACACATACAGAAACCAAAGCTTATTAGTGGTTACTGGGGTGGTAGAAAAGGGGAGTAACTGCTTAGGGGTACTGAGCTTATGTTAATAATGGTGGTGGAATGCTTTGGAGTAGGATAGCTACAGTGGTTATACAACATAAAAAAATGGAATCAAAATCCCTGAATTATACATGTAAGAACTGTGGCGGTGGTAAATGTTTTTATGTTTTTACCAATAGCAGTACTTTTAAAAAGGCTGAGAAAGTGGCCAAAGCTGAACTGATGTTGGATGAGCTATCTTTTAATTTTCAACTGATTGGTTTTTTTAGCCTGCTGGGAAGTGAGATAAAAGCTGAGTGTGCTTGACAACTCCAAGGCCTGGCTGGCTGGGTCAGGCTGCCACAGGGTGGAGCTGGTTGTCACCTGATAATCGTATAACCACAAGGCCACTGCCACCTACCAAATGTGCACATGTGTGTTTAGGATGATTGGCATGGCCAGTAGGTTACCTGAGACCTCTGTCCGAAGAAATCAGGATGCACAAGACGCTGTAGTTGCTGGTACCGATGCTGGAGCTTCATGGTGTCAACTCTGAAGGATCGATTGCTGAAAGAAAAGCAGGAGATGAAATTCAAGCAACACATAATTAAAGACTTGTCTACTTTAGGCCTGATTCCTGCTCTCATGGGGAAGACACAATAAACAGAGATGGTATCAAATAGTGGTAGGTACTACAAGCGAAAACAGAACGAGGTCAAAGAAAGTGATGACTAGGATGGGCAAAGAGATGGTTTTGGAGGTGAGACTAAAATTGTGAGTGAATATTCAAAGATGAGAAGAAAGAGCCATCAGGCAAGAGCAATTACATATACAAAGACCATGAGGTGGAAAAAGATTGGCCCGCTGAGGAGGTTAAAAGGTTGTGTCATCGCAGCCCTGGTGGCATTGTGAGGTAACTGTTGGGCTGCTAAATGCAAGACCGGCAGTTCAAACCCAATAGTCACTTTGTCAGAGAAAGATGAAGTTGTCTGCTCCCAGAAAGACTTACAGTCTCAGATACCCTACATAGGGTTGCTGTGAGTCTCAATTGACTCCGTAAGTTCTCAGTGAGAGCAGAATCTAGAGTCGAGGGAAGGGGCAAGGCTGAATTCTACCCCAACTTTCTTCCTTCCAGCTCTCCCATTTCCCTTGAATCCAGGGGTTTGTTGTTGTTGTTGTTGTTAAGTGCCTTCACTAAGTTTCTAGTAATAGCGACCCTGATTTTTCTGCCCAAATTTTTTAAATCATTTGCGGGCCATACAAAATTATCAACTTAAAAATTAGCCTGCTATATTTGGTCAAACATTTAATTAACTCATACTGAACTGTGAACCACAAGGTCAGCAGTTCAAACCCACCAGCTGCTCCTGGAAACTGTGTATAGGGTTGCTATGAGTAGGAATTGACAGCACTTAAGTCAACAAATCTGAGTGTAGCGCTGCAGGATAATGCACTGGATCACAAGGTGGGTTTAAAACTGTAAAACTGGAAGTTCAATACCTCACCACTCCTCAGAAACCCTATACAGGGTTGCTATGAGTCGGAACTGACTTGATAGCACTTAACAACATGAAGGTTGGAACTGCAGTTGCCTTGGCAGGGCCAGACCAAATGATTTATACAGTCCACAGGTGAGTTGTTCCCCACCCCTGCTTTAATCCAGCCCCTTTCGTTCTTACCATCTCACCAGTCCATCTCCTCCAATATTTCATCACCTCTTTGAGCTCAAATTCAGAGGAAAAAGGGAAACGCACCCATTTCTGGGGCCTTCCACTTCTAATTCCCTCTTTTCCTTTAGACCCAGCCTACAATATTAGTTTTTTCCTGCTTTTACTCTCTTAAGGAGTTCAGGTGGTACAGTGGTTAAGCACTTAGCTGATAATCCAAAATTCAGAGGTTCAAATCCACCAGCCCCTCTGGGAACGGTGGTGGAAGGGGAGAAGATGTGGTAGTCTACTTCAGTACTGACTACAGCCTTGTAAACCATACGGGCCAATTTCACTCTACCCTACAGAGTCACTGTGAGTTCGAATCCACTCCACTGCAACGGTTGTTTTGTTTTGACTTCCTTATCTTGGAGTGGACCGCAGTACTCCTTCTTAAGAGTTTCAAACCAGCTTTAATTTTTCTGCCCCTGTTTTCCAGGTCTTCTGTTTGTTCTAGGTTGTTGTTGTTAAGTGCCCTCCAATCCGTTGTGACTTATAGCAACCCAGAATACAGTTTCCAAGGAGCAGCTAGTAGGTTTGAACCGCCAAACTTAATGGTTGGTTGGTGGTGTTGCTAAGTGTCTTCGAGTCAGTATCCGACTTATAGAGACCCTGTACAGGAGGGTCCTGTACAGGGTTTCCGAGGAGCAGCTGGTGAGTTGGAACTGCAGCCTTTAAGGCCCAAACCGACTTCGCAGTTTACCGCTTTAACCGGCAGCGCCACAACAAAAGTCATTATGGTTGGTAGTCCAGTGCTTATCCTCAATTTTTCATTCTCTCAGCCTTTGTTCTTAAGTCTCCCTTCACTCTGGTCTTCATCTCTCATCAGTTCTTCCCTCAATTTTCTCTTCTGGAGTCCTGGTGTGGCGCTGTACGATAAGCACTCAACCATAAGGTCGGTTTGAACTGCAAGGTTCAAAATTGCTGCTCCCTGGAAACACTATACAGGGTCGCTACGGGTCGGAACTGACTCGATAGCACTCAACAACAACAATGGGTCGAACAGACTAGGATAACACTTAACAACAACAGGACCTTCCAGCCTACCTTCTCCAGGCCCCGCCCCAGCCCACTGAGACTCCGCCCCTATCCGTCTGTCTGGTCCCGCTTTCGTCTCTTCAAGTCTCTGTCAGCCCTCAGCTCTCGCAGACCAGTCCCTAACGTCTCCATAGTCTCGGCTCGTTTCCTGAAACCGCCGTCCGTACCAATCCATGATGCTGAAGTAATCTCGAGTGGGGTCGGGTGGCTGCAACGCGCGGCACTGAGGGCAGAAGAACACGTCCCCCTGCACCGGGCCCCCAGAATCTCCTCCGCAGTTCCAACACCGAGGGGAGTTACTTCGGGCTTGCGACGCAGCATTGCAGCCTACTGGTCTTCTCCCGGGGACCCATGTTGGCCACAACCCCCACACCCGGAGGAGAGCCTCGGCCCTCCTACCCCACATCTGGCCTATCTCGCCGCAGTCACCCGTGGAAATAGGAGTAGTGAGTGTGCGACTACACTAGTGCTGCAGATTGGCTGTAGGAACCGAGGGGGCGGGATCACCAGGGGGAAACCTGGATCCTGTGTCCCGCTTTGCATCTTGAACTACAATTCCCAGCAGTTACTGTGGCAATACGTCACGGGCACATCCGCTGTTCCTCATTGGCCCAATGCATCGGGAAGTGTTATGATTGGCTGAGGGAGGAGTTTGTATTACATGTTTAGCGCCACTCTACTGGCTGCGGCTGCGGCTGTGGCTAGTGTGCTGCTCCAGGTGGGTTAGTAAGGTGAGTCAAGTGGGGAATGTTTCTTGGGTAAGTAGGGGTTCGAATCCCGTCCCCCGGGTCTTTAGCGAGCAGTGTTTCTGGAACTTCCGTTTTGTCGAAATTGAGCTCCTAAGAGGGGGGTGGCGGGTGCGTGGGCACTCTCTTCCTTCTTTGTAGATAAATGGAGGTAAAGTTTACTTTCCCTCGTGACTTACAAGCTGATACTGGCCCAGACCAACAAAATGAGAAGTTACAAAGCTGTGCTCTTCAAAAATTAGAGTTCTGTTGTTCAGTGCCCTCCAATCGGTTTCGATTTATAGCGACCCTGTATCGGGTTTCGAGCAACTGGTGGGTTTGAATAGATGATTTTGCGGTTGGCAGTCCAGCGCTTACCCTACAGCGCCACTGAGGCTGTTTATAATTATTGTCATCATTTGAAGTCAGAGGCCTAAAGCAAATTTAAGCTCAATCTCTAACCTACTTGTGGCTAACCCACTGCTATAACTGCTATGCAATATAGGAGCAACAAACTCAATGACTTAAGTAGATGTTGAGTGAGGCCGCTTCCCGCCAGCCAGCCAGTGACTATAAGTAAGTGTGAGGTTTTGGGTGGCGAGGAATGGGCACTGGGCATCAGACCTCTTTGGGACTCAGTTTCTGTATTGAAATAAGCCGATGTTTCACCTGTGAGACTTTTTCCAACTGTAGGGTTCTTTGTGTTTTCAGGCACAATGTTTTGCTTTGGTCATATGGCCTTTCACTTCCCACCCTGCATGACTTTCTAATAATTAGAATAGCTTCCAATTACCAATCTTTATTGAGAGGTGGGGGGAGGGGTTTGCATCACAGGCATTCCTTCATTTAATCCTCATGATCTGCTTTTTTCAAGAGACATTGGGCTGCTAAACCAAAGGAAGGCAGTTCGAACCCACCAGCCTACCACTCCAGGAAGAAAGATAAGGCAGTCTGTTGTAAACATGTACAGCCTCAGAAACCCTGGGAGCAGTTCTAGTCAATCCTGTGGGTGTTAGGTGCTGTGGAGTCAGTTCCAACTCATAGCGACCCTGTACAGGGTTTCCAAGGCTGTAAATCTTTACGGGAACAGAACACCTCATCTTTCTCCCACGGAACAGCTGGTAATTTCGAACTGCTGACCTTGCTGTTCACAGCCCGATTGGTAACCACTACACTACCAGAGCTCCTTAGTCTATCCTGTAGGGTTACTGTAAGTCAGAATTGATTTGATGGCAGTGGGTTTGGTTTGGGAAACTGAGACTCAGAGAGATTGGGACCTACTCAGTGTCATGCAAAGATTTGATTTAGGCCTCTGACTCCAAGCCTCTCCCTCTAACCATACCTTCTCCCAATTGCTCAGACCAGAGTGGTCCCTCTTTAGCAATAAGGGCTGCCACCTCTTTCATTAGTTATCAAGGCAGGGACTAAATGCCTCTGGATCCAACCTGGCTGAGTCATTTTAGCTCCTAGAGTAGCACACTCAGCTCTGACATCAAAAGCTCATTAAGACCTTTCAAAACTGTGTAAATGTAGTACTGTTGTTTAATGACCCTCTCCTGAATGTGGGGAGAAGGAAAGGAATTCACCCATTTAAAAAAAAAAAAAATCAGATCAGATTGACGTTGCTAGCTGTAATGATTTTACAGGAGGTTCTGTTATCCTAGTGTAATTGCCCATCATGTTAATTCTAAAGCAAGGGAAATCCTCTGTATGGACTCAAAAGAATGGTGCAGGATTCTGTCCAGGCTAGAAAACCTTTTGGGATGATGAAAAGATGAGCACATAGTTACTTAGTATCACAAAGGGTTGATTCAGTTCAGAGCAATCCTGTTTGTGCCCTGTTTCTTCACCCACTGACCCTAGTTAGGTCCTCTAGCCCCTCTCACTCTTAGCACCTCCAATGACAGGCCATTCATTAAGGATTCTGTATCTAATATCCAAGATGATGAATTCTGACTTGGATGCAGTTGATGCTGAAAATCAAGTAGAATTGGCGTTAAAAACATGGTTTGTTAAGCAAATGTTACAATTCCAACACCCTTGAAAATCTGCAAGAGTAGATGCAGTTAAGGAAGAAAATATGAGGCTAAAATTAGAAAACCAAGTTCTTGGACAATATATGTTGTTAAGTGTGGTCAAGTCAGTTCTGACTCATATCAGCCCTCTAGAACTGCCACCTTGTGGATAGCAGTTCAGTGCTAATCCTACACTTGCCACATCAGGACAATAATATATTGTTGTCACTATGTGCTGTTGAGTTAATTCTGAGTCATAGTGACCCTGCATAGGGTTTCCGAGGAGAGTGGTGGGTTTGAATCACTGACTTTGTGGCGAGCAGTCTAGTGCTTATCCTATAGTGCCACACAGAAAACCTCATATTAGCTTTTAGTATTTTTCAAACAAGTGATACACAAAAAACAAAAAGTAAGGGGTTGGTATCCTTTGGGTGTGATGGACTTGCCGCATCCTTTTTTTTTTTTTTCTTTTAAAATTTGGAGGGATTCCAAAAAATACAATATCTTTGCTTGTGATATCATTGAATATTTGTGAAGGTAATGATAGCTCTAGGCAAGTTTAAGAACACCAGGAGCCTAACAGAAGATTTTATGAGTTTGTGTACTATGTTAGTATATGAGAAAGTACAAATGTATTGGAGAGATTTTCTAATGAGAATTGCATACATACATGAAAACTTGAAAATGAGTATTTTATCAAATTAGCTTTTTTAGGTTTAGCACTGTTTTTTACAGCCTCATCTTTCTCCTTCCGTGTGACTAGTGAGTTGAACTGCTGATTTTGTGGTTAGCAGTCCAGTGTGTATCCTATAGCACCACCAATGTTATCTTTGATTTATGGTGATGGTTGCGGGCCGTTGAGTACGTTAAGACTCTTATCAGCCTGTAGAGTTTCCGAGGCTGTAAATCTTTCCGGGAGCAGAAAGCCTCAACTTTCTCCTGTGGAATGATTGGTAGATTTCAATGGCTGACTTTAAGCTACCAGGGCTCCGTCTTCATCTTTTATTATAGACATAGTAAAATATCATAAGGGAAGTAACTATACCATGTTGTGAAAGAGTACAGAAATCATGAACCCCGTCCACCATCTTGTACCTCTTTTCTATTTGCTTCTTCCTTTCCATTTCCATTCTTCTTAGGAGAAAAAAAGATAATAAGGTGGTTACATGTTTGTAAAAATAATTTGAATAATCATTTATGAAATTAACTTGAACACATTGTTGAAATTTAATCAGAATAATGTTTTCAGCTAGGTCCTGTCATTTATTTAGTAAGAACTGCAAATAAAATATGCAAAAATGATCGGCTTGTTGTTTAGTGCCGTTGAGTTGGTTAACTTTTGGTTGTAGATTGAGTGAAGGTTTAGAGAGCTGATCATCAGTTTTACTTTCAGCAAATCATAGACTTTGTCTCATCTCAATGATTACTGTCCCCTGAAGGTAACATCACCTATCCCACTTTCTATCTGTGATTCTAATTTCCATACCTCCTCCTTTTTCAACCCTTCTGAATTTTATCCTTAGGTAAATGCTGCAGTGGATGATTCTACGGTGTGCATACCTTACCAGTGTTGTCATCCCCCCTAGCTACCTATCTACCACTTGGCTGAATATTGAGCCACGAGGGTGAGTTCAGTTCTAGACCTGACGGTTGACCGAGGGCCCTGGCCTCAGGGATCCACCATTCTCTTTCTGACCAGTAATTCTGTTTTTGTTTTTTTATGATTTTGAGTTCTAAAGTGTTTTCATTCCAAATTTGTTATGTCAACTTCACAGCTTAGGTCATGTATGAAAGTGGGTCAAGTCTGACTAACATTTACAAGGGACCAATTGCAAAGAGCTTGGTCCCTTTAGGGTTTACACTCCTCAGAGTATATTAGTATCAGAATCATGAAGAAGATGGAAACGTTTTTCACATGTACTAAATGATAAACTCTTTTTATTATTTTTACTTCACCACTTCTCCTAGAATTGTCTGAAGTCTCATTTGTTTTGTACAATTTTAGGTAATCTTTTGCTAAACAGTATAAAAAAATTCTTATGTAAATTACATTTCAAAAGGGACCCGATTATAAGTAATGTTAAAATATTACTTAAATTAGGAAGAGAGGACCATTAATATAGTTGATGGTTATTAGACTTGTTGTTAAGTGCCATCAAGTCAGTGCCGATCTATAGTGACCCTGTATAGGGTTTCCTAGGAGCGGCTTGTGAGCTTGAACCGCCAACCTTGCAGTTCAAATGGCTTTGCAATCTGGTTCATTAACCCACAGCACCACACCAGGACTCAGGCTGCATTTAATCATAGAATAATCTTATGATTGTACTGGTGTAGGTGTGATTTGTTAAATGATTTATTTGCATGAATGCATACTAATCTGTAGACATTTTGCATCCTTTTTGTGACCTAATTGACAAACATTTAAAAGTTGTGTTGCAGTTCTGCTTTGCTGTTTAATAAAAAAGCCGTTTCAGAGAGAGAAAAGAAATAGCACAATGCTAAAGGCAGACATAAGAGTTTTAATTTTTGCAGACTGTATGTCATCAGTGTTTTTTTTAACAAAAAACATTGTAATTTGCCTATCCTTCACTGTTGACCTTTAAGCCTTGTTCATTGAAACCTGTCTCATTGGTGAACACTTAATTTTTGAGGTCGTGATGTCTCGTGAAGCAGATGTGGAGTGTCAGCAGTCCCAAGGAGGCACCTCGTCACAGTCTCAGGGCACCTCCTCCTCTCAGCCTGCCACCAGCTCCTCCTCACAGTCCTACAGCGTCTCCTTGCAGTCCCCTAGCCTCTTCTCACAACCCCACGGCTCCTCACAGTCCCAGAGCACATCTAGCTCCTCCTCCAGCACAGTGCCCACGTCCAGCCAGTCCTCTCACTCCAGCTCTGGGACGCTGAGCTCTGTAGACACGGTGTCCACTCAGGAACTCTACTCCATTCCTGAAGACCAAGAACCGGAGGATCCTGTCCCTGCTCCTTGGGCTCGATTATGGGCCCTTCAGGATGGATTCTCCAATCTCGGTAAGCCCTTTAAGATACGATATGATGTTTTCTTCAGAAAAACAAACACAGAGCGTTGTAGTAGGAACTACATGACTCCTTGGAGTTATTCTGGAGTTTGAAGGTGATGGAAGATGCAGAGCCTCCTTGGGTCAATTTTCAGCCAAACAATAGACAGGTCTTTAAGGTGAATGGACTCCTGGTGTGGCGCTGTAGGATCGGCACTGGACTGTGAACCTCAAGGTCGGCAGTTCATACCCACCAGCTATTTCTTGGAAACTCTATACAGTGTGGCCATGAGTTGGAACTGACTCGACGGCATTTAACAACAACAACCTAAGGTGAACACTAATACCAGGGTGGTAGGTGGTCCTTGAAACAGTCAAGCATTTGAGATCCAAAAGGCAGCATTTACTCAGAAGTAAGGAGCTCTGGTAGCGTAGTGGTTACGAATCGGGCTGCGAACCTTAAGGTCAGCGGTTCGAAACTACCAGCCGCTCCGCGGGAGAAAGATGAGGCTTTCTACTCCCGTAAAGATTTACACCCTCGGAAACCCTGTACAGGGTCGCTATGGGTCGGACCCGACTCGATGGCACTTAACAACAACAACAAAGTTCAGAAGGCAGGACAGAAGGATGAATGGAAACACAGGGAGGAGGTGGGATGAATGCTATTATTATATTGTGGGGTTTGCAATTAGTGACATGAAGCAAAATATGTATGAATTGCCAATTTTCTCTGTAAACTGAATTTCAATAAAAAATTAAAAACAAGGAAGCAGTGTCAGCTAGTACCCTAGCTCTGGATCATCTTTTAGATTCCCTTCATTAATTTCAGCAAATACTCATTGTGCATTTGCACTGAGCTATCAGGTTGAATTTCTCAACTGAGCTGTGGACTTTCTCCACAGAAAACTGCAGCTTCCTCCAAACTTGAACTTCAAAAACTTTGCTTTAATAGCCCCACGGTGGTTCGAGGGCATTTTGGAGCATCAGTTTTGTAGTTTCAGACTAGAGGGAAGACTTGGTTACCTGTTAATGGTTTCTCCTTCAAAACAGGCAGCTATGTAATTTAAATATGTTCATCCTCTGACTCCTCCTGGTTCCAATAATCAAGCTATGCTATGGGTACATTTGAAATAACTTTTTCCTCCCTATCAGATTCAAATGACTTCTGAACTTGAAGTTAATGGAATAGAAAAAATACAAAGAAATGAGTGGTGAATGTACTGTTTTGTACCTTGTTATTAGCCCTTCCCTTTAATAATTATCCCAACTTTGATGGACTGAAACAGTACTAAGAACTAGACATCCATATGTTTGCTAGGTCCTGGTACAACTTTAAATTTAGAAATATGTTAACATTGTGAAAGAGTTAAAGTGAATGGAGGTGAATACTGTTAACTGATAGCACATGGAAGGAATTACAGTCATTGTAATGAAGCAAAGGATATGATTTGCTGAATGTAAAACTGATGATCTTCTCTGTAAACCTTCACTCAATTTACAATAAAAAGTTGAAAGGAAAAAAATTAGAAGTAAACATTTGAAGCTATTTTTTTTGCCCATGTAAGCTATATTTTTAAGATAGGCTTAAAGCTTATATATGAATATGAAACAGGGAAAAGTGAAGTAGAATGGCACATTTTTAAAAGTGAGAAAATGAGCCTAATAGTGTGACCATCATAAAGTAGATGTTTGATAAATTGAAGCTATTTATTGTTGTTATTGGTTTAAACCTTTGTTTTCTTATAAGAATTTATAGTTAGGGAGCCCTGTGGATCTGAAGGATAAGCACTGACCTGCTAATAACCACAAGGTTGGCCTTTCCAACCCACCAATTGCTCAGCAGGAAAAAGATGGGTCTTTGTGCTCCCACAAAGATTTACAGACTTGGAAACCCTATACAGGGTTACTGTGAGTTGGAACTGACTTGATGGCATTTAACAACAACAATAGGTAGTTAGTTCTTTAATCCTTATAAAGTTGAGGTTTGTATATGGGTGAGGTGGAAGACGTCCAGCTCCAGTATTTGAATATGTGTATCCAATTGTCAAAGGAGCTCTGGTAGCGTAGTGGTTACGAATTGGGCTGCTGACCTTAAGGTCAGAGGTTCGAAACTACCAGCTGCTCCACGGGAGAAAGATGAGGCTTTCTACTCCCGTAAAGATTTACACCCTCGGAATGTAAATCCGTACAGGGTCGCTATGGGTCGGAACTGACTCGACGGCACTTAATAACAACAACAACAATCCAATTGTCATAGCACCATTTGATGAAAGACTATTCTTTTCTCATTGAATTGTCTTGGCACACTAGTTGAAAATCAGTTGACTATAAATGTCTGCCTTTTAATTAGATCACATGTAGGCAGTCCCAGGTTATGAAGATTTGAATAAATGAGCAGTTATGAACGAACCAATACCTTACAGTTATGAACCAACCTCTATAAAGCCTTTAATTTAAATAATATTGAAAATTCAAGGGAATTGCTTGTAATAAGAAATGGACACTACTTTGTGACATACTTCAAAACATTATTATTACTGTATTATTATGTTAAAGATGTCTCAGTCTATCTGGAAATGTTTCCTGGATTTTTTTATGCATAGAAAGATGCACTGTATACTAAGACAGACATTTGACTAACTGACGTTATAGATGAGCCGTATCTAACTGTTCCAACTTGCATACACATTAGAATTAAAAATAGATTTAGGAATGGAACTCATTTGTAATCTGGGTGCTGCTTGTATGTCTATCCTTCTGTCAAACCACTGAATCTTGATTATGGTAACTTTATAGTAAATTTTGAAGTAAAAAAGTGTGTCCCAGACACAATTTTTCTTCTGTTCAGATTGTTTTAGCTGTTCTGGATTACCGTATTTTCATTCAAATAATACCTGCAAACTCCCGCATATTAGCTTCTATGAGCACTACGCATGTTATGTATGTGTGTGTTAGTCACCAAGAGTTTGTTAAAGGTGGAAAAATATGGTACTTCTATTTCCATTTCCATTTTAGGATCAGTTTGTCAATTTCTGCAAATACACCAGTTGGATCTTTTAGGTCAATTTGAGGAGTATTGCCATTTTAACAATATTAAGTCTCCCAATCCATGAACATGGGATGTCCGTATTTTTTTATAACTTTAATTTTCCTCATTGTTGTTTTTGTACTTTTCTTGTTAAAATTTTATTAAATTTGTTCCTAAGCACTTCATTCTTTTTGCTGTTACTGTGAGATTGTTTTCTTAATTTCATTTTTTGATTATTCAATTGTTAGTGTGTAGAAATACAAAAGATTTTTGCATATTATTCTGAATATCTTTCAATCTTATTGAGCTCATTTTATTAGCTCTAATAGTTTCATTGTTGATTCCTTAGGATTTTCTATATACAAGATTGTGTCATTTTTCCATTCCAATCTGGGTTCTTTCTGTTTCTTTTTTTTCTTCACAACTTTTAATTGTGAATTGAGTAAAGGTTTACAGAGCAGATTATCAGTTTTACTTTCTGTTTTTTGAAGTTTTTATTGTGAATTGAGTAAAAGCTTACATGGGAGAACATCAGTTTTACACCATCATTTCATTGCAATGATTAGAATCTCCTCTGTGCATCATCATTCAACAGTATTTGCTTCTATTCCCTCTGTTTGTTTTTTGGAGGGGTGTGTACACAAAAACATTCAGAAATATATATAATTTAAACAACCAAAGGGCACATTCTGCAAGCCTGCCTCCTGGCCACCAGCAACTCAGTCCTTCTCTTTCCATGAGTCTAGAGTCTTCAGCTGCTTTCTTTCTCTCCATGTTCTCATCTCTGTCTCCATCTCTGGTGTTGCTGCTTCTCTGGATGGGGTCCCACATTCTGCTTGTGCTCTTCTCCCTTGATAGTCCTAGGGTCCTCTGTTTCTGGACTGTAACATTAGTTACTCCTCCATTTTTGTTACAAAACTTCTACCTTTACAGTTGCAGTTAGTCATGATAACAGTTTCTCACTATTGAATTATATGAATCTTATTGCTATTTCTTTTCACCAGACCCTTCTAGACAAGATGAAAACTATTATCAGTTGCACTTTCAACAAATCATATACTTCATTTCATTTTAATTACTGCAATCACCTCCATGTAACAACAGTTATCCTACTTATCTCTTGTGTGTGTGTTTTTTTAAAGCTTTTATTATTAATTGAGTGAAAGTTTGCAGGATAGATTACTAGTTTTACATTCAACAAATCATATTTTGTTTCATTGCCATACCACACAGAAAATACATATTCATTTAAATGTCCAAAGGATACATTTTATAAGCCAGGCTCCTGCCTGCAGGCACACAGCATTCCTCAGTCCATGGACCTTTAGTCCTCAGTTGCTCTATCCCTCTATGTCATTGCCTCTGCTACTGTCTCTAATGTTGCTGCTTCTCTGTTTAGGATCCCATGCCCCACTCATGTTCTTTCCTTTTGATGGTCCTAGGGTCCTCTGCTGCCCAAATTAAAGATTAACCACACCCCCTGTTAGTTATACCATTTCTACATTTACAGTTGTGACATACATTTTATAAGCCAGCCTCCTGCCTGCAGGCACACAGCATTTCTCAGTCCATGGACCTTTAGTCCTCAGTTGCTCTATCTCTCTATGTCATTGCCTCTGCTACTGTCTCTAATGTCGCTGCTTCTCTGTTTAGGATCCCATGCCTCACTCATGCTCTTTCCTTTTGATGGTCCTAGGGTCCTCTGCTGCCCAAATTAAAGATTAACCACACCCCCTTTTAGTTATACCTTTTCTACATTTACAGTTGTAACAATTGCCATTAGTCCTGATCACAATTGAATCATAAACTCCTATCTCCATCCCCTTTCACCAGACCTGTCTGGAAAAGAGGAAAACTATTCAGTGATGATTCTACCTTTACTCTCCTCTATCTGAAACCAAGCACACTCATGAAAACTTGTAAGGCAGCCACTTCATGCCTTCCTAGCTCCTCATGTTTTATAGCCAATGTCTAAGTTGACTTGT